CCGGGTGCACAAGATAGTTGAGACTGCACATCTATCGTTTCTATTTATATCTGGTGTGTACAATGTAATTAATGTTTTAATGATAAATAATAAAACAGGGAAATACTTGTACCAAATTTTCACAAAAATACTAATAAGATGTATGTACTATAAAAGACACAAAATGGTATTATAAATAAATGTATCATAATATATTAATAAATTATATATTATTATATTAATAAATGTATCATATCAATATATCTTTATATGTTATTACAGCTATACCTATTTATTAAATTTGAAATATATAATATTAAATTAAATTACGTGTATATCATAAATTTAAACTATATGTATACCATATTGGAATATATATTGTATAAAATATAAAATAATTTACATGTATATATATACATTATTTTTCTTTTATTATATATATATTATTTCTACATTATATCTTATATGATATATATATAAAACTTGAACAAAATTGCAACTCCGACGAGTCAGATAATAATAACTCTGGCCTCAATTATCTCGTAAGATAGCTGGATAATATCCTGGGTACTCGAATATCTCGCAAGACACTCCGAGCATCTCACATATCCGAGTAAAGCCTGCCAGCTCTAATTTGCATTCTTTTGTATTATTTTTCCCGAGTCGAACGATCAACAAGGTGAGGACGCAAGCAAAGTGAACGGACCCTGGAGGATTGAAATCCCTTTAAATCGCAAGAGGCGACGAGCCCTCTTTCACAAAGGGGATGCAGGGACGCGAAACCGGTCGAGGAACCATTCTAACTGCGAGCGCAAATAAGAAAGAACAGCCCCGTGTGGTCGATCACAGGGAAACGCAAAACGGTCGAAACTTCACACCTGTAACGTCGAATCCCGCTGACACTGCCACGAGACACTCGTGCGAACTCTGACCAACTCTTTCCCACCAACAGCCACCTAAGTATACACGTCTATGTACACGCGTACACGTACACAGGCACTCGCCAACTTATAAGAGATATTTTCAGGAGTCGTCGTCGTTCGTTTCGAAACATTCCCTGCTTAGCCTGGCCACTCTCGCGTCTCTAACTATCGGGTAACTTCATTTCTTGCAACGAAAATTTTCGTCAACGCCCAACTGAATCAACTCGTCTGCCGGTTAACCCATTTGCATCGCGAGGCGAGTAGATAAATTACGCGAAATAATTCGTGAGCAGCGATTAAGAATTATATTTATTAATACATATCAGAAGGTTCAAAAGTGTGGGTAACTTCTTATTAAAAATTAATTGTATCGTGCTTTTGTATTGTCTTTTTGTTGTTGAAACGGTCAACCGGTAAAATAGTTTAGTTGTTCTAATAATATCCTTAATAGTTATAATTATTATATTCTAATTCTAATTTCAGTTATTGTATTTTCTATAAAGTTATAGCCATATTCACAGTATAATAGTTATAATTATATTATACAGTATAATAATTGTAGTTATATTCACAGTACGATAATGACTAAACCGTTTTCTTAATTAAACAGATTTTATCAAAACGGAGGATACCTTCACCAGCACAAATTGTTCTTCATCGAAAATAACTTGCACTGATCAGATCATGAGCTCTCCATATAACACATACTTTGTCCCTGGTATTCTGATATTTTATTGCGATCAGTATTAAGAGAGAGTAGCTAACATTTGAATTTCCAGATTTGACGAATTATAGTACACGTGAACATGTGCAATCTAAATTGCAATGCAAATTGATTAAATTCACTGATTCGAAGGGAAAAGCATAAGCAGCAAAAAGAACCAATGAACTCGTGTTGTATCAGTTTGCCTCCCCCTCCCCCTACCCCCTTACCGACACCTAACGATAAATTCGAATAAATTCCTAGCGTATACGTGTTTACAATGAAGAGCATAACCAATGACAATGAAAAATTGTCGATAACATACGCTGATATAATTTTGTAAAAAAGTTAAGAATACTTTTTTCTTTTATCAAAAATTGTAAAAACATTAACAAATTTTTTTCGTAACTAAGTCTATTATTTTGAAGACTAAAGCCTTCTCTTTATAATTTATATAATTTTATTGAATATCAGCGTTAAACGACAAAAATCTAACCCTAATGTTTCAAGTTCGATAAAATGGTTGAAAAAAAAAAAAAAAAGTAAAGCAAGTTTTAAGAGGTCGTTGCAAAGAGGAAATTTATTTTCACGACCATGATAAGACTTGGCAGTGAAAAAATCTTTTAATGTCTTTACACGCGTTTGAATTTTTACAATTTTCGAGAAGATAGTATACACGATGTGAAACAATTTTTGGAGAAAGAAACGAACCAAGGTTTGTCAAAGTAGAAGCTTCACACTTTATAACGAGATCAAATAGATCCTCGTATGATCGTTCTTCACATCAGTTATATCAGTTTAAATCATCGATAATTTTTCAAATGTCATTGGTACAGTTGTGCTTTTCATCGTATCTATAATTCGAACGAAGATTCCGGTGTATAATACATATCTGTAATCCGTTAGCTCGTTCACAAACCTACCAAACTTTATACTTCTGCGAGACTGATAAACTCTATCTTCATCTGAAACGATACATTCCAACGATTTCGAATATGTAGAAAGGTCACGAAGAAAGTAGAAATTCGGGTTGAGGAGATGTTGCGAACGAACGATTTTACACTGACGAATCCGGCAAGAGAAAGAAGCGTGTAATGGCTTATTAAATGGCGAATACCTAGCAGATAGGAGAATGTCAAGTATTCGGAGATGACACGAGAAAACCGGTCGATACTTTGTTATGAAAGGCGAAACTTCAAATACAAATAAGCTTGTGGGATTCCGCTAGTCTGTCGGATGAAATAACAGAGGGAAAAAACAACGCGTGGTGCGCACTTGTGTCTTTCGTATCATCGTTTCAATGATCGACGTTGTTTTCCAATTTCCCGATGAGATCAAATTCAATTAAATTAAACGAACGAACAGATCGTTGTTTTTCAGGCATTATACCCCGAGATCTCGATACACAGATCGTCCAAAATGTCAACGACATTTGTTTTTCGAAATTTCTCGAAAATGGGACGCCGGTTATTCGACGTTTCCACACCTTTTCACCGGAAAAAGAGCGAAAAAGGACAATGTCGAAATTTTTACGATACATCGTGTTTCGCAGCAAAGCGGACACGTTCCGAATGCTGCACGGAACCGATTCCGCGAAACGTCGGTTTCGACCGGGTTTAAAGGGGCAGAAATTTCGAACGATGAGTCGAAGATTGGAAACGGACGATAGAAGAGAGAAAAAGGAAGAGCATCGGTCGTCGGTGATCGATTGTCGAAAACGAGAGGCAAAGGACGATGCACAGAGCGAGGCGCGGTCGATAGGTGGACTCGAGTGTCCACCGCGGCCGAGGCACACACAGACCTCGCTTTCGGAAGAATTCCCCCGGATCTCGTCTCTCTCGGATAATCGAAACGTTTGACAGGATTCGGGGTGAGGCGTTCCGCGAACAGAAACCGATGCCCGAGGACGTGATGCATGCAGCCACGGGGAGGTAAAATGGCAACAGCCGAGAGCTATTATCGATTTTATCAACGGGGACTCTGGGGGGATTCTTTCTCGCACCGTGTGCACCCGGGGTGGTGAGTCAGAGAAAGGGTTTCGCCGTAACGGCGCCGCATCGTGAATAAGCTGTCTACTCACCTTCGGACAACTCGAGGTCCAGCTCAGCAAGTTTCTCCCGCACGTCCTCCGGGAGCTTGCCGATATCGATGTTGAACTCGGCCATCACTAAGCCATCCGCGCCGAGATCACCAATTCTCCAGCCGTACATTCCACGACCCGTCACCACCGCTCGGCCATCTTGCCTTACACTGATGCTGCCAGCTCCCGTCAGCTGGCGACACCGTTCGATCAGACACCTATCGCCACCACGGTCGGAGGAGAGGGGGTAAACAGTTGATCCGCAATTGGCGATTACCCGCGTCCTATGATAACGCGTTCGTCCATCGCTTATTCAGCGTCCTTTTTTTTTTTATCCCCGATACGTTTATTCGTTTATAAAGGTTTATGAGAAACCTTCGCATTACGAGATTGTAATGCTACAAACTTTTCTCAATACGTGCTATCTGATTAGATCAGAAGATATTTGAAAAAATTAAAGTTAATACGCTCTGTCGCGTAAATGAAGATACTTATTTTATAAATCAAGATACTGCGTAAACTTTTATACTTTTATTCAGATAAACTGTTAAATTGTTGTACTTTTATTCATTTCTAGAATTTCTTTGATATATTTGTTCGTTTCTTTTACAAGAAATCTTTCCTGAAATCTTCCACACCGTGAGATTGTAATAATACGAACTTCTCTTTGCTCGTGTACACACACGCATGTTCTCTGATTAGATCGTAAAGTATTTTAAAAATGTAAAATTGATGTACTCTAATACTTGTATAAATAAAGATACTTTTATTCATTCATAGAATTTTTTCAATACATTTGTTCATTTCTTTTTGAGAAATCTTCATCTTAGGATTGTAATGATACTTTTCCTTGCTTATGTACATACACACGTGTGCTATCTGATTAGATTGTAAAGTATTGTAAAAATCTAAATTTAATATACTCTGATACTTATTATATAAATACAGATTCAAAAATATTTATTCGTAAAATTTCTTCGATATATTTGCTCACTTTTCTTTTTTCTTTCTCTTTTAGGAAACCTTCACCGCGAGATTGTAACGCTACGAACTTCTCCCTGCTCATGTATATACGCGTTTGCTTTACACATAAAGTGTGATTGCTACGATTAGTATTCCAAAGATTTAAAGTTATACTCTGTTGCGTGTTATATAAATGAAGATACTTATTCATTCCTAGAAAGAATATAATCTCTGCTTGACTTTCAAGCACGAGCTGATACGGAGGTAACATTTGTCCGTTTTTCGTTTCAAGGTTACGCGTAATTTCGCAGGTATAGAATTCTTCAACCAATGCCTGCGTGTTTATTTTTACGTGTATTAATTCTATCAGAAATAGCCAATCAGATTCAGGTTCTTCTGACTAATCATCCTCTCTGTGTACGCTCGTCCAATTTAAATACCCCACTACCGTTGTCTTTTCGTCAGTCGCGAACTGACAAATTACTGTTACTTACGTTGCGTCGTTCAAATATCAGTGACACATCTAGTTCTGTGAAATTAATTTTTCTGAATGAAAATGTTTAAAGAAGTTGCACAAACGATATTTGCCATGTGATCTCGTGTCGCGAGCGTTTGATTCATTCGACGTAACTTCAGAAACCGTTCGGGCTAACCTATAATTTGTCAAAATGAATTGAATCAAGTCGATGCGTACACGTACCATACAGAGACATTTACGAACAGTTGTAATTTTCTCAATGTTTGTGACAAGATGGAGATATTATCGGACCCAGTGTTCAAGACACAATATCAAAAATATAAAACTCGTGTTAAATTATGGGAAAGCCGCTTCACCGCGAAACATGGACGTAAGCCGAATAAGGTATTGCACGCAACTTTTGTAAATTATAACATAAAATTAAGACGATTGCAATTATCTCGTTGCTATCCAACTTTGACGATAATTTCTCAGTTTCATTTTGTCATCGAAATGGTTACTTTTAGTTGAAATTGTTCAAAGATAAGGAGGAGCTTACTTTCTTATATGTAATTAATCTATTTTCCTACAATTGAAATCACTCTTCCATAGTCAGTAATTTTTCTTTTCATAAGAGATTTCAGTACCAGTCAGAATTGAACATTTTTATCCTTTCTCATTTGATGTTTCTTGATTCACCATTATAAGAAATTATAAAATTGTGAATTATGTAGAACAAAATCTTACGCGATATTAACTGATCAACTTTTTATTGTTACAGGACGACATTAAAGAGGCTGACATAAAAATCAAAGAATCTTATAAAATGTACTGGAAGTTAAAAACGCGTGCTTTGGAGGAAACACTTGTAGACATTTCGTTTTCTGATGAGACAGAAGATAATGTTACTCAAAATGTAACGTGTACATTGTCTGAAGAAATTAAAGATGATAATAAGTCTTTAAAGGATAACGAAAAACATGAGCAAAACGAGAACAGCACAAAAAATATAGAGGGTAATATAGAAAGTAATAAAAAAAATACAAGTTTAAAAGATATAAAAAGCACGGAAAACAGAGATAATGAAAATATAAATATTAATAAAAGTTCGCAAGAGTGTCAGAGCCAACATACTATTAATAGTTTGATGGCAGATAAAAATGAATATAAAAATGTGAAAGGTGTATGGGGTGATCATTTGAGTAAAAGTAACGAACAAATACCTAAGAAGAAACAAACATTAATAGGTAGATCATCTTCTTTTCAGTTGTCGCAAAATAAATTCACAAGTTCAAGTTTTATGAAAAGAAATCCTAGAAAATCTCTGTCTACAACAAAAACAAAAAATAAATCTGAGAAAGACGATAATATTGATACAAGTACATCTAGTATTGTACAAAATACAAACATAGAACTAAATAACAAAGATGATTTAAATGTTGATGAACGAACAAAATCTATACTTGGTACGAAGTCTGTGAAAGTAACGTACGTTGAACCTAAATGTGTTGCTCAATCAATTGGTACAATATTGCAATTGACTGAAGGACATATTATTAGTAGAAATCTAAATTCTGGATGGTTAGACAGGTGCGCCAAACAAAATAATTTAGATTGCACAGCATTTGATTCGCTGCAGAGGCTTTCTGGAAAAAGCGACTCTGGTATCGAATCAGTAGAAACAAGTATTCGTTCATCTAAAGAAAATATATTAGCGTCTGACATGCAAGAAATTCCTCAAATATCAGACGAGGAAGATTTTATTTGTAACAGTGATTCAGAAGGAGAACATAAAAACAAACGTATCAGAAATTTCAAAAAAGGCTTTAGCGATCAAGAAAATCATCCGTCCAAAAAAATATGTCTCAAAAACTGTACAGATGGTTTAGTATCAAATAAAACAGTTCTCAGTGAAGAAAAATGTAACGACTTAAACACAACTAGTATAAATTCAGCTAAGAATAACAGCATACATGTAAATATTCAAAAAAATTTGATTAATAACGTTGACAAATGCAATGATAATGTAAAAGATATATTACAAACTGTAGATACAAACACGCACGATCAGGAGGACATAGAAAAATCAGTTAAAGGAAAATCAACGAATCGTAGAATTCGGAGAAAAATTAAACACGACTCATCCGACAATTCAGATCCTGATTTCGATGAAAGTGAGGAGAAGAAAAAGAAAGTGTCAAAAACAAAACGAACGAGCGCAAGAAGAAAAAGTAAAGCTAATGAATCAACAACAACAAACGAAATAAAAAGTGCAACTAAAACGAAAAGATCTTGTAGAAAGAAAAAGAACGTACAATATGAGGAAGATGACTTAGAAACGTGTGACGCAGATCTCGAAAATACAAATGATAAGAAACCTGAGATATATGGAATAGAAACCTTAGAAGCTGTTCCACGTTTTGCAATATGCAAAAGTAATCAAGGAGATCTTATTGAACAATTTGCTAGATCTATTTCTTCGAAAGCCGATGATTTAAGTTTCTCTGAATCTGCAAAGTCGAAGAAACAATTAACAAATAAAGAAACGTTAGAGAAGAAGATAGCAGATGGAAAAGTAAATGAAAACTTTGTTAGAATAAATTTAAAGAAAAAGGTATTTGTGCGTGGTAAGAAGCATTTTAATTTCTCCAAGTATAAGAAGAATCAGTGGAAAGAAAAAAAGAAAGAGCTTGCATCTGGCGAGGGCAGTTTAATGGTAGCTGACTTTGTTGAGAAGAAAGGTGCATACAGTTGTTTTAAATGCGGAAGTACCGGCCATTTTTCAAAATATTGCCCGAATAAGAACAGTGACGATTTAATTCCGTTAAACGAAGTAGATGAAAGTTCGACGTTTCCAACTTTAGAAGAGGCTCAACAAATGGCCAGCCAGAATGCAATTACAGCACATGCTAATCGAATTGACCGTTTGCCGGAGAAACCATCGTACTTTGTTGAAGCAAAGCTTGAGTCGACGAAAAATGAAACGGGGAATAAAACCGACGATCATGATTTATGGGAACCCATCGAGGACGAAGTATGCCTTGAAATTCTTAATTTTCTTACAATTTTGCGGCAATTAATTTATGTGTTATTTGTTATATTTATTTCTTATATTTGTTATATAAGAAATATTATTTGTTATATTTGTTATATTTATATGTTATTTATATGAAATTTGCAGAATATTTTATTCAGCCATAAAATTCCCGAAGATTTGGTACAAAAATTACTACCACCAGAGATTAGCAGACTACAACCACTGTATGAACTTCAGGAAGATCGATCGTGTATAGGTAATTAATTAAGAATCTAGTACAAGTTATTAATTAATTTATTGATTGTTATTAACTTTGTTTGTATATGTGCTATAATTACAGAAACACCATCCGAAGTTTTTGATGTGTTGCGAAAATTCGGTCACGAAACATTTAGACCTGGACAAGAGAAAGCTGTAATGAGAATACTATCTGGTCAATCGACATTGGTAACCTTATCTACTGGTTCTGGAAAGTCTTTATGTTACCAGCTACCTGCATATCTCTATTCCAAATACTACAATTGCATCACTTTAGTCATATCACCGCTGGTATCCTTAATGGATGACCAAGTGACGGGTGTCCCGTCATTTTTATCTGCAGCCTGTCTACATACCAATCAAACGGAAAAAGTAAAAGACAATGTCATGCAAATGGTGAAACAAGGAAAACTGAATATTTTATTAATTTCTCCAGAGGCTGTAGTAGCTGGTGAAAAGTCAACTGGATTCGGTGCTTTATTGAGGCAGCTTCCACCAATTGCTTTCGCGTGTATAGACGAAGCTCATTGCATTTCACAGTGGTCTCATAATTTCCGTCCGTCTTACCTTATGGTCTGTCGAGTTCTTAGGGAGAAGTTAGGCGTCAAAACGGTATTGGCGCTTACCGCCACCGCAACAAAAGCTACCGCTGAAAGCATAATAAGTCACTTAGATATAGAAGATGGAATGGCGGGTGTTATATCTGATATCCCGATACCGAAAAATTTGCTGTTTACAATTTCCAAAGATGAAAATAGAGATCAGGCTTTAATCAAATTGTTATTGAGTGAAAGATTCCAGAAATGTAACTCGATTATTGTTTATTGCACCCGTCGAGAAGAATGTGTAAGAATTGCGAGTCTTCTAAGAACTGCTTCCCTGCAGGTATATTGATTATTACTTTGATGATTGAACGTCAGCAGTAACGTTGGCAATATATCACGATGCATTCTGCTTTTTGACAGGACGAACATAATTTTGAGAAACCAAACGCCAAACTGTCTTTTATCGCGGAAGCGTATCATGCCGGTTTATCGGCTCATCGCCGGAAAATTGTCCAGAAGGCATTCATGAATGGACAAATCAGAATTGTTGTTGCTACTGTAGCGTTTGGTATGGGCCTTAACAAGCCGGATATTCGCGCTGTAATACATTACAACATGCCTGGGACCTTCGAGGGATACGTTCAAGAAGTCGGGAGAGCTGGCCGAGATGGACTTCCAGCTTACTGTCATTTATTTTTAAATCCAACAGTACTTAAATTCACTCTACAATCGAATTTACTGTACCGTATCGGCTTGCAATCATGCAAACATTTTTTCTTCTCATTTCAGGAAAATAAGGATAAATTGGAATTACGGCGGCACATATACGCAAATGGAATCGACAGGCATACAATTAGACGTTTACTCCAGAAAGTTTTTGTCCCGTGTTCGTGTGCAAAACTACGTGAAAGCAAAGCAGATCGCAAATGTCCTGGTCACGAGGTTGCTATTCCAATCGATGATACAGTTGCAGCTTTAGATATTTCGGAGGAAAAAATTTCAACTCTCTTGTGCTACCTTGAATTACATCCGAAAAGATTTATCACCCTTCTTTCGTCTGTGTATATCAACGCCCGAGTTTCAAGTTACAACGGACCTCAAGCGCTGAAGCAAGCTGCTCAAACGGTAATATTGTATACAATGCTTCTACACGAATAGACGTCACTTATCTAACATAAAATTCTCATCAATTTTTCAGTCACCGCCACTTGCAATGGCTATCGCACTAGACTTACAAAACGGTATTTCTCATGAAAGTAGTAATGTTATTGAATTTCCAGTTGTGGATGTTGCATCTGCTATAGGTTGGGATAGTGGTGTTGTGAAAAGTCATCTTAAAAATTTAGAGTGGAAGACAGGTTTGTTTTAATTAATAAACAATAACACACGTGTAAAAATTCTCTTTCTTTTACAATATTCTTTGTTACCTCTTTGATTAATACCTTTATTTTTTCCTTAGTTAATGGAGTTTCAAAGCGTTCAGCTATTTCAGTAAAATATGAGAAGCTTGGTTTGAGGGTGAAAGCCCCAGGAGATTTGACGGAAACAGAATTAGACGAAGCACTAGATGCTCTAGTTAGCCGTGCTCAGTCTCAGGAAACTTCGGCTTTGCAACAACTTGAAACGATTAGTACTACGCTTCAAAAGTTTAGTGTTCCGTCTGTACAACAGTGTCTAACATTAAATGATGAAATGATTAACAAGTCTGATCAATTGAAAGACGTTATTCGCAATTACTTCGATGGGAAGATTCTATTAGACATCGATTTGAAACAAGTATAAACCTTTTCATAATGTTTAATATCCAAATTATATATGTTATACATGTCGTGGGAACTTAATATACGTAGAATTCGTTTTTTTTTTTTTTTTGTTTTTTTCAGAATGTAGCAGAGAATGAAGCGCAAGTAGCTTGCGATGTTCGTAACTTGATTATAAGTTACCGCGATAATAATTTCACTGGACGTGCAATCGCACGAATTTTTCATGGGATACAAAGTCCAAATTATCCTGCTTATATATGGGGTAAATGCCGTTTCTGGAGAACTCATATTTCATTTGACTTCAACGCTCTGTGTCAAATTGCTACAAGAGAAATTTTAGCTTTACGTTAGATTAAATTGTTTTCAGTGGTTGTAGTTTTTTTTATGGATTTTGGTACACTACAGCCGTTATTCTTAAATGCTAGACATTTGACGAATGTTTGACGTTATAATTATCTTTATAGTTTATGAATATTCGAAATTTGAGCAGTAGGTTTACATATTAATATATATTAATTAAATAGTTTTAAAAATATATATATATATAAAAGATTAAAGGTTATATAACGTTTTATTGTTTCCATAACAAATGGTAAAATTCGTATAGGTCATAATGTATAAAATATTTACTCGAACATGCCTTTAAAGAGTAATTTATTTTTTTACATTTGTAGGATAAACTTTAAATACTTTTTCTAAAAAAAAAAAAAAAAAAAAAAAAAAAAGTTATGCGATGATTATTTCCTTCCATCATTATTGTAATTTTAACATATAACAATAATTATAAATTTGCATTGCTACATTGTTAGTTTCAGCAATACACGTACATCCAATCTAAAGTTCACTTCCTGCACCATTGTTATGCTTAAACCTTTTTTTTTTTTTATTTTCATTAGTAAATTCAGTTAATCTGTGGCAATAAAATCTATATTGACAAAAATCACGAATACATTTCTTATTTCCTTAATGTTAAAATACAATACGATATGTGTTTTGTCAAGGTGGGTTGGAATGTTTTTTGTTCTTCGGTGTTTTTCGTTCATTTCAAATTCTAGTTTTTTATTTCCAGCATCAGAGTTTAACTAATATTCGCAATGTTCCCTCAACAATGACAAGCTATTCACGTTACAACTCTCTTCATGTAATTACACTGTCGCAGGAACTTATGCATTCGTATTTGCTGCATCTTCCCAACACGGTTCATGCACGTTTCATTTTGACATAGTGCGCAAAACTCGGACGATATCCCATGGAACGGAGAACGGAAGTAAACATTGGCATCTTTCAACGTTTTGTTTTTATGATGAGCCCAGACATGCAACGACATCTCGAAGAACATTAGTATAGGCAAGAACCAGCGGAAACATAGGACAGCAAGAAAGAACAAACAAATTGGATTCACTTGGCCGAACGATGCTCCAACTGGGACCGGTTCTAAATCCATTAGGTTCTCGCTTTTCCTTAACGTGCCATCTTTAATTGATAACGTTTCCTTCACTTCTTTCGGAATCTAGGGAATTGTTTATTAATTAACTCTCAATTACACTCAATTACACTCTCTACGCTATCGCGCAAGAAACTTCTAAAACACAATTAAGAACTTCAGTCTCTCTCTTAAGCTCCTATTCTAATTTTCTACGACTATTTACATAACGCCGCCGAGCTATGTAATCTGCATTCGTTACCACTCAGTACGGTTTCGTGATATTGCAGCCGCTTCGAAGGAAAAAACAAAGTGGAGGGGAAAAAAAAGAAAAGAAAAGAAATAACGTGTACGTCATGATTATCATTTGAAATCATTACCTGGAAGCGTGTTCTCCGACTTTTAGTGGTTTCTATTCCAACCACGTTGATCTCCGGCTCTCCCGTCTCAACGTTATTTATCGAGCTGACCAGCCGTCGAATTTCACAGTCGGAATCTGGAAGAACAATACTCTCGCCGGTTTCCTCGTCAACGTAGATTCGATCCATTTCCGGTGTTGTTGTTCGGATAGCCAAGAGAATCAGCGCAAAAAACGTGTTCGTCGTAGAGCCCCCGGTATTTGGCGAGGAAAGCAGAGTTTAATGTATTCGGCCGGGTCCTCGGGGTCACTTCCCGGATACAAAGCACTCCACGATTTTTTAATATTCCGACGATTAGATACCTTGGCAAGAACGTTTCTCTGAAACAGGTTAAACGATCCTCAAATCAACAATCCGATCGAACGTTTATTATCATTTACGCGAGACAATCTAATTCAATCGATAACTGTATTTTATGTTTATTTTTGTCGACCGGCCGAAGATAATTAAACGCAGAACGAATAAGTTAATAATTTTCCGATTTTCAACAAGCACGCGTGAGAAGTTAACGATAAAAAAGAGAAGAACAGGAAATAAATGACAAAAGTAATTGGAGGCATCCCAATTAAAATATAAAATATATCATCTGTCAAATCATCCATCCATCAGGTAATAAAATAATATTTTCCTTCAATTATACAGTATATTTTAGTCATTAAGGTCATTATTTTTAACGCTTTAAAGTAATCGTTTATATCTTGTTCATAAACATACTATCAGCACAAACTACCAGCCTTTATCGTACTTATTATATTTTCAAAAACATAGCTTTAGAACCGAATACATAATATCCGAAGAATTGTACTTTTTCTTTAAGCGGTTCACGATGCTTCACACACAGCATATCTTTGTCAATTTCATGCGCATTTATGTAAATGATTACATAAATTTCACACGTGTATTCAGTATCAATTTCTCATTGCAAAGAATATGAACGAGTGCTAAGGAAAAAGTCGTTGTAGTCAGAGTCAAGACTGATACGAAAATATTAGGTATCACAGAACTCATGGAATTCGAAAGTAGGAATTGTAGAAACTTTTCTATAAAGTCGACGAGCTTATTAATTTACTTGTTCAGGACGATAAACTGCTGGTGCTGCTGTCGTCGTCAACGGCTTGGAAACACGTGCAGCAAACGAAACCGCATTTTCTACAAGAATTTTCCAAAACCGTGCAAAAATATTTGAACACGCACATGCTGCGATATACTATTATTTATTTTCATTCAACCCTCAATTTTTAGGTTAATTGTTTTCTTCGCTTTATTCGAGTGAAGTTTTTCAATTAAGCAAAACGTATATTGCTCTCAACTGTTTGTCATTTAAAACATTATTTTGTTATTCCTCTACGTTTATTTTCCTGCTGATAATTACTCAGCGTTACGATAATAATAAGTATTGCATTATTATTATTATGTTTGTAGAGTTTCGCCTAAATTCACGGGAAATCATGGCAAGTGTCTTCAAATTTTTCTCAAGGACCAATCCTCATGAACATATATTACGTAATCGCGGACGAAGATCAAACGTACAGGATTTTAATACTTTGTATGTAGAAAGATTCTTTTGCTTCTCTCCCGTCACATCTGTAATTTCATTTTAATTCGCGATAAAACTACAAAGTCTGTAATTGACTTTTGAACCTTCGTAATGTAATTATTCGCGCTTACGTGGATATATCATTATGTCTCAAACAGCGCTTGCGAGTAACGAGAGAAACTTGGTTGGTAACATTGAAAAATAACCTCTCAACGTTGAATTTAGAAATACCGAGTGTCTCTTTGCAATACTCCAAAGAGTTTAGAAAAAAATCGATACACCATGTGATCCAAATTTACGGATTTAAATTCTACTTGAAGGTTCAGAAAATTTAAGCAGTATCTCGGCTATGATAAGCCCTCATAACTTCATCCATTATTGTTAATGATTCGCAAACGACAATTATTCTCCAATTAGTATTTATTGTTCCATAATAATCCCAACGCCGACAGTGTGAGATAAAATTGATTTATAGAAGTTACGATACTGTTGTAATGAAGTATTTATACGTATCAAAGAAATGTTTCTGCGCACGATAAAGAATTTAACTGCAACAAGTCAGAGCTACAAAAAGTAATCCCAATAACATTTCAATTTGAATAAAAGTAATTCTCGTAGCAGAATATTTAAATTACTGTCACTGAGATGTGCGCTACTTCTTTCCATAGCAAAACGCATGATAACATAAATTGCTTTTACTAATGCAACACACACATATATATATTGCTTTATTAACGAAATATCTAAAAAAATCTAATCGCGTAATATATGAATTAAACACCATTCACCGTGCAAATAAAGAAAACAGTGGGAAATTTATAATTATTCTTGCAGACTGTATGTAATTGGTAGGATTCGGCTGCATGTAAAATTAGAGAAATCCAAAAAAACTGGTGAGCAACGTGTCCAAACCATCGGCATGTAAACGTAAAATCGAGAATAGCGACTACACAACGCTAGAACAATTGTAAATATGTACATTTATTGATAAGAACGTAACAGATAATTAACTTACCGTATTTTGCGAAAAGACCTATGCACGTTTCACGTGAAAGAGATTTTACACTTCGATAAATTGCGTGAATTCACCTTACAATGAAATACAAGATTACAATTTACGTAGATGTATCACTTATGCGTAGCACTCGGCACTTGCGTATTAGCAATAAAACGCAACATATTGCAACGGCCGTAGCACGAACACGCATACAATTCCTTGCGCATTTGTAGCTCGACTGAGGGCCAGATACTCGCCATGATAACCTGTAACTATGTGAATTAAAGATGGGCGTGTTTACTAATCGTGGAAGAGTCATCAACACGATGCGAATATATACATGACGTACGTGCCTTGGTGCGTAAGGACGAAGATAATTCCTTTCGTGTTTTATTCTACTAATTAATTATACATTATTTATCTTTTAGAATTCATAGAAGGTTGACAAAAGGTTCGCAGTGACGTAATGTCGATGCTTTTGTAGTTCCAATACAATTTACCGCAGGAAATTTATACTGTTTGGATTACGATTTCGGCGATTGTTGCACGAAATTAATGTGACACATTTTTAAAATATTTGATACAAAATATAAAATTTTATCGATGTGAGGAATTTTGTTACAAGAACGAATAGAGGCGAATTTGATGGAACGTCGAAAATAATAAATTCGCATACAATGAATAAACCTTCGTTGCCATTGATAATAAGTATATGTGAGCGTAAAGTGTACATTCTATGTAAGAGTTCATGTCACATTTGGAGTTGCAATACTCAATACTGACTTGAAGAAAAAGCAAAAATAGTTTTGTCGTGTCTCTTTCAGAATTTAATACTTACAAGCTAATATTAATAAAATCAACGAACCTAAAGAGATTTTCTTCCGTTGTATTCATAAATGAATACGTTACATCGAATGATACATATATCAAAATTTTGTATATTTTTTTATTATATCTTACCAAAAGTAGCAATAAGTACAATGACATCTAGAAGTAGGGTGAATTTTTTTTTAAACTGATAGATTTGCAGATTTAATAAATCGCCGATAGTTAAATGTATTTTTTTCTACGCAACACATGTATGTAGGTGTGTATCGACGATTTCAATATCGCTATGAATGTGCAACTGCAATATAATTGTGGAAATAGAGGGAGCTCGAAAACATTTTTTTTCTCAGTTTTGTTTGTTTAATCGATACACGACGAGTCGACGAACGATGAAAAGTCAGGCCGTTTGACTGTCATAATTTTCGCTGGCAAATAAAAAAAAATGGATAGAGATGATGAACACAAATCAGGCAAGGAAAGTGTCTCGGATGTTTCTACGCACAAAAGAACAGAGAAAAATTCGGAATCTACTACTGTCTTCCATTCTTCTCCGAATAAGTTAGCACTTAAATTGTGCCGACAACCACCGCGTAGTTACAAAATGTAATTTCGAAGTTTGTGAGAAAATTTTGTAAAAACTTGCCATTCTTTGCGATAAACTGTATAATATACATTTGAAAATGTTGATACAGAGGGAAAAATGAAATACCGTTTTTCATACCGCATAAGAAATTGCTCGAAAAGATCGAGTATAAACCAGAAATTCGGGAGCCATTGGTGAGAATTTATATAATTTTCTTTTTTTTTTCAATTAATTAATTTTATCGACAGACATTTAAAAAGAGTACTTCTGTAGACCGGTTTTAGCGCTCAACAAGAGAAAATTAGGAAGCAGGTGTGCAAACCAAGCATTTCGCTGACGAGGATCGAGAAGATGTTGACAAAGGACGTCACTTCTGAAACACTTACAAGTTGCATCACAATTTTTTTGTCACTTTTCCTTTAACCTTATGAACCAAATGAAAAATTTTTTTTTTTATTAATCGCTCGTTTCACGTGAAACAGGTGTTGGACCAAGGGAAAGAATTTCGCGGGATTTTCGAGAATATAAAAGGGAAATGGATCTCGATGCTCCTCGGTTTATCGATCAGTTGAAGTTGATTCGACAATTGCGAGAAAATCCTAAAATAGGATTCTTTTACATGATTTACGCTGTGGATCGATCCTCGAAATATTTTACTCCCTATGCTTTGAAGTAAATCACTTCTTTGTCTGAAGATTTTCAATGTACGCACGGACAATAATCTTTCAATGATATTGTTGCAGGGTCGTTCAGTATAAAGACGTAGGCAAAGTTTACATGACTATCAGTGCCAGTGGTGTAACCCAGCACAGTCCGGACGAAATGAGTTTCACGCCTATCGAACAGTGGGAAAGGGAATACATTTTTTACTTAAAGTTGTTAAAGGTATATTGTCTTTTGACATTTTTTTTTTTTTTATTTCCTGCATTATTCCGAACATTCTTACAACTCAGTATTTTCAGATACGGACGTTTATCGTGTTTCGAATGTGGAAGAATTTCTACGTTTGGAAGAAGATAGTCAGTTATAAAAAGTTCGTTGTGGCGAAACATTATTTGAAGGAAAATCTCTTTATATCGGACTCGATTCTCAGTAAAGCGTTGTTAGAAATCAAGTCCATGTGCTCGATTTTCCTCAACTCGAGTTTCTTCGATAACTCGATTTTTGACAAGATTTTGCTCTTTTATTTCGCAGAGAAACAAGTAAATATCTGTTTGCATTAAAAAAAAAA